AATCGATTTAAAACATAAAACCAAAATCCGAATTTCCAACCAAATCCGAACTTTAATTTTCCGGATTTAACAACTTCAAGCGCACACCCTACCCTGCAGTTTGAACGCCCCTTGACATTTAACTACATTTTTAAATACTTCTCGAGAATATGAAAAGAAGTATGTGTGTGTATATATATATATATATATATATTTATTTATTTATTTATATTAAACCACAAAATTCACCTTTAGGCATACGATACCCCACGTAGCATAATTATCATTGTCTTACGTGCCCTCTTTAACGGCGTCAATGCTACCAAACTCTTTATATTTCCCCCTGAGATATTAAAATTTGCAAACTCCACCAATCACTTTTCTTTTTTATTATTATTATTCTTTCATTTTAATTTTTGAAAACTTTTAAATTTATAATTTTTTTTAATTTCAAGAATTAAAAAACCATTTTAAAAGTTTACATATCAAAATATAACAATTGGGATACTTTTAAAATTCAAAAACTTTTAGGAGAACTCAAACTATTAACTTTCTAGAAACAAATAGAGTGGAATTAAATGATCTTCTATATCATATTCTTTATATTAATTATGACCCTTATTCGAGCTTAATGACAAAAAATACGGATAATATAAACATAACTCAGCGATAAATAATATCGGTTCATTTCTTTAAAGTCAAAGGTTCAAATTTTTATTATCATATTGCCAACCTGAACATAGATCTCATGTAATAAATATCTTYGACCAAAAGGTCATGAGTTTGAATTTTCATCTCCACATATTGTATAAAAAAAGAATCTTCATACCACAACTTTGTTTGTGCTAGAAAAACAAAAAAAAAATTATATTAAATGACGTAAAATAAATATGTATTTATAAAAGTAGCTTTTAATTGTATCCTGACATTTTATAAATTTACAATTTTTGTCATTTTTCTTAAAATTTTACACGTAAAAAAAAATAAATTTCTTATATATATATATATAAATACATCTTGTTATTTTTGTAATTCCCTCATAAACAAACAACTAAAAAATATGCAACTATATATATTACTAGTTATTTAACAAATTTCATGCATGCCCACCTAATGCTTAAATTTATAAGTAATTAAAAATCTAAGTCGTGATTTCATAAATTATCGTTTATATGTTAGATAAGTAAGTATTGAATAGTAAATTCATGATAAGATTGTTTCTAAATATTATTTAATATTATAGGTCCATACCAACACAACCCTAATTAAAATCACAAAATTGCTAGTTTGGAAGGGCACACTAATCATTACMAATAGAAGATTCCACCGATAATTAGCYATCTAAATTGTCATAATTAACCGATCAAGSTATATGTTTCTAACTAAAAAGTTAGAGGCTCGAATCCATGTCGTAACATACTTTGAAAATACATTACTCAAATTTTGAAAATCCATATATTTCACTGTATCTATGTTTCAATTATTCTCTCAAAATGAGCTATTTTCTAAAAAATAGAAAAATAATTCTAGTATTTTTATACCTAATATCAAATATATTAGTTATATTATTTCATATTAGATATAATAGTCATATCAATGATATACATTGAATGAAATATATCACTGGTATAACTAATATACTTCATATTAAGTTTATCACAATTTATATCATTGATATGCCAACTTGACCTAGCTCAATTGATTAAGTCAATATAATCTCAAATAAAAAGTGGGAGGTCCGAATATCCAAAACCCATGTCATTAAACTCAAGATAATAATAATAATTTGATGCATAAATGTTTTATTTGATTCAAATGTGACGACTACCATATTTTGGAAAATTTGTGTTTTATTAGRTTTAATAAAAATTGTTTGTAACTATAACTCAACTAGTCAAAGTATTACGTACTTAAAATTTGGAGGTTCGAATCTCCTACCTAAAGAACTTTAAAAAGGAATTAATATGAGGTGCTATAGTCAACTTGATCGAGCATATATAGCTTACACCAAAACTAAAACAATAATAATAATAATAAAGAAGGTCCACTTGCAAATATTACAAAAAATTAATAGTGAGTTGAAAATATAGCCACCGCTATTTTTATTATTATTATTATTGTTATTATTTTTTGCAAATATAGCAACGGAGAGTTAGCCCAAATGAAGAAATAGAAAAGTCGATTATAACCTCAAAACCTCAAAATTGGCAGTTTCCTAAAAATTAGAAAAACTCTCATTTTGCTATACCTAATATATATCAAGTATACCTATAGTTCAAATTAGATATATTCATATCACTAATGTATTTAGTGTTAATACACTTTATATTAGGTATATATCACTCATATCTATGATACATACCTAAAATAAGATATATATAATATGTCAATTTGATCCTAGTTTAACTGATTAAAATATATATTTTCAACTAAAAAGTTGGAGGTTCGAATCTATACTACCACATTGTTAAACTAAAAATAATAATAATAATAATAATTAGATACATAAATGTTAGGTAACATTCTTTGAAAATATATAAAATGTGTGATAGGTACAATATTTTGGAAATCTATGTTTGAGTAGATTTAGTTGATGTGAGCCTAACTCAATTAATCGAGGTATTAYTTACTTCTCTAAAAGTTGAAGGTTTGAATCTCCTAATTAAACTGAAAATAATAATAATAATAAAATAATTAATAAGAGGTGGTATAGCAAACTCGATCAAGWCAGCAAAACTAAAACAATAATAGTACGTTATATGAAATATTCCATGAAAGATAAGTGATCAAAATGGAAAGATTTTAACTTTAGACTTTTTATCAATAATATATATATTTTAACCACACAAGTGCACGATGACATTATTAGGAATACCAATCTACTAATTTTTTTCACACAAATTATTTTCTATAATGATCATTACCATTTAATACGTTTGGAGAAAAAAAAATCAAATTTGACATTTACTCTTCAACTTGGCAAGTTGAGTAAATAATAATAATAATTCTACTTTCGATTATAACTAATTAAACTTTATTACACTGACCTCTAGTTTAAAATTTAAAAGAAAAACGTAAAAATACTTCTAAACCCACTAATTTCAATCGAGAATCAATTGTTTTTTTCATGATTGTTGAAATAGACGAGGATTAAGAGGTTTCTCTAAATAAAAAACAAAARTGACATGATTGTTTTTTTCATGATGGTTGAAATAAACAAGGATTAAGAGGTTCCTTTACAATTGATTGAGAGGTATTAAATTAGATGGAAATAAAGATAAAATATCAATGTTAATAGATATTTTTCTAAAAATTAGAAAAATTAAAAAATCGTAAAAAATATTTAAAATCAAGGAATAAATATTTTTCAATTTCTAAATTAATTAAGTTAAAAATAATAGTCATTAATATCATGCAGGTATGTATTAGTGATATTCTCTCAATTTTTTTTTGTAATACGATAAAAAAATATTGATTTACCACTCCGCGTCCAATAATAGATACATAAAAATGTTAGTGAAAATATCTCCGTCCTGGATACGTTGCAATAAGTAAATTGGAACGGGAGATGGAAATATCAAGTACGTAGAAGATGGATAAAAAGAAAAGGTCAGAGAAGAGGGAAGGAGTGAAAGACGTGGCAGTAAAACCTCCATCGGTTAGGGGACAAAGGAGATGCCACGTGGCAGCTTAAGAACCCGTCCATCCAACCTACCAAAGC